ACAAGGGGCGAGCGAGGGAGACAAGGGGCAGACAAGGGCGAGAGGGGCGGGGCAGAGGGCGAGGCAAAGGGCGAGAGAGCGAGGCAGAGGACGGGGCACATAGCTCAGCTACATTGTAATGGCTCAACCCATATAGCAGGCCTATACATTGTATCGTCTCAACCGTAGTGTGCGCCCTCCAGCGGGTCTGCCTTATATAGTATCTATACATTGTATCGTCTCATCCCTCACGAGTGGGCCTGCTCGTTCTGCAAACCACTGCCCCAGCATGCCTGTCTCGGGGTCGGGGCTGGCCCTGTTGCCGAATGGCACTCATGGATCGGGGGCCGGTCCTCGGGGTGATGTGCCGCTCTTCGTCGGCACATTGCACTTGCTGGCCCCGTCATGTGGCCGGCACTTATGCATCGGGGGCCGGTCCTCGGGGTCAGTCTTTGGTGGACAGTGTGCCACTGGGCCTACAGAGCTCTCATTGAAACTGAATGTATGATTTTGAAAGAAGCAGATGAGAGGAGGTGTAGAGAAGGACATTGTGAAGAACACAGGAGTTCAGTTCAGCAGTCTGCTGCTCCTCTGGTCGTGTCGGGGTCACCAGCCGATCCCTGATCGGCCCACAGGGTCAGTACCTTGATATCGGAAATCACCGTCACCGACATTGGCTCGGTATTACTGCCACCAGCTCAGCATTCCCTTCCCCCAAACAGGGCACCCTTGCACTTACGCTACCTCCCTTATGCAGCACTAGCAAGCAGGGGTCTTGTCATTGAGAATTATTACAAAAGTATTTACTGCCCAGTACCTATGCCCTTGGATGAGCTCGCATTCCTGGGAGAACTGGGGTGACCTCCAGCCCCGATGGTCCCCTTTGCAAAGTTGATGTTGTCGAAGTCCCCCCGGTCGATGCGTGTGATGGGGGGGCGGAGATCGTGAATAATGGTGTTTTTAATGTGTTCTTCAATGGCGGCAAAGGCCTTCATTGCAGTGTCGTTGGCCTCCAATTCCTTGATCTCTGCGATCTCCAGGCGGTGTGCTGCCTCTTGATAGCTCAAACCATAATGAGCCTGAAGGGCCTTGATCTCGGCATGCAGAACGAGCAGCTCACGCTCACTGAGGCCCTGCTATTAATTAGATCACATAGACATCTAGCTGGAGGTATTCACTCACGGGGTTTGCTGGTTCCAGCACCATCAATGGAGAAAACATGTTGCCTGCTATGCCAGACAACTCGCGGGGCTGTATGGACGGGTGAAGACCGATGCCGATGTGATAGGTGCCGACAGGGCTGGGGGAAATGCTGGTGCCGACGTGGGCAATTCCGACTGGGGATGTGCCGTGAGTAGCCGATGCCAATGCCATTATGCCGAGATGGGAATAGAGTACAATGCCGATTAATGCCGATGCCGATGGGGGGAGGAACAAAGTACACATCCTACCCCAATGCGTAAGTGCCGGCCACATGACGGGGCCAGCAAGTGCAATGTGCCGACGAAGAGCGGCACATCACCCCGAGGACCGGCCCCCGATCCATGAGTGCCATTCGGCAACAGGGCCAGCCCCGACCCCGAGACAGGCATGCTGGGGCAGTGGTTTGCAGAACGAGCGGGCCCACTCGTGAGGGATGAGACGATACAATGTATAGATACTATATAAGGCAGACCCACTGGAGGGCGCACACTACGGTTGAGACGATACAATGTATAGGCCTGCTATATGGGTTGAGCCGTTACAATGTAGCTTACCTACCTGGACGGGGGGAGTGAACGAGGGGCGAGGGTGGGGGTGAAGGATGCCTGCCGCCG